AAGACCTTTGACAGTAGTGCTAGTAATGATAATTCTATATTATCATCACTAAACGCACAATTGAAAACAGAAACTGTTGATTTACGTCTTAATACAACAAGACAATTTCTCTATCTTGTTGAGAAAGGGCATATAAAGATGGAGGCGAGTAGCCTTCTGGCCGAGAGTTTAGGTAAAGACCCATGGTATGCGCAGTGTATTCGTGCCTGGGCAAATCAATCGAAGAATTGCAAAGAATTAATAAAGTCAAAACGTGGCCGACATATAAAAACGAAATCTTTAATACATAATAAAAGCTTTCGGCTTCAAATAAATCAGTATTTGGAGAAAAATAAATTTAAATTAGCCATTCCAAATTTTATAAAATACGTTAGTAGTATTATGCCTACTTTTGGAATCACAAGTAAAATTATTAGTAGGTCAACTGCACACAGATGGCTAAAATTACTTGGGTGGAAATACCAAACCTATACAAAAAAAATTTATTTTGACGGTCACGAACATGAAGATGTGGTAGAAGACAGAAATCGTTTTCTGCAAGAGATGGCTAGGTTAAGAAAACAAATGGCCCAATACGTAGATGAAAATTTAGTTCGTATTATCCCTCCAGAACTTTATCCTGAAATAGTTTCTGTCACCCAAGACGAGACCACTCTTTATGCAAATGATGGTGTGAAGGAGTATTAGGGCCCGGCGGGTGAATATAGCCTACGGAAAAAATCACTAGTAAGAATCAGAATAACTTATATTCTTTAGTCGACTAATCAGTTGACCAAATATTATCAATCAGCTAATTAATTATACGTATAATATTTTAGTTTGTTGACTAATTCTTTATTCCTATTTCTAATCACAGAGTTAAAGTATTCACATTAGTGATTTTTTCTGTAAATCTATCGGGCGTCTCAAACTTTCAGAACACAAAAGTTATATAAATGACTTACTTCCTGATTACATGCGTCTTAAATATACCCATGCATATGTTGCTATCTATCCGGGTATAAATCGTGATGGTTGGTAGTCAGGTGATGACTTAGTTGATCAGGTAGTTAATCGTGCCATCCTGATATTTGAATGAACACACCCCGGCAAGATAGCTCTATTCATGTTTGATAATAGTAGCAATCATGGTACATATGCTGAAGATACCCTTTTGGTCTCAGAAATAAACATGGGAGATGGTGGTAAAAATAGAAAAGGTGAAGATAAAAAACCTCGTCATAATGGTACAAAGCCTGATGGTTCTGTGCATATAATGAACTATGAAGATAGTAATAGTGTATTAAGATCTAAGGAAATTAAATGGGTTCTTAAAGAACGAAATTTATAGATACCAGGCCTTTTAAAAAAGTGTAATAATTGTAAAAAAAATAAGCCTGATCCAAACAACCCAAACTGTTGCGCTTCGTGTATTCTTTCAGCTCAACCTGACTTTGTAGCTCAAAGATCACGCTTAAGAGAGGTAAATAAGTTTTTTTTTTTTAAAAAAAAAAAAAAAGAAAAATTATATAAAAACCATTACTTACATGTATATAAACAATTTAGGTAATTGAAGATGCCAAGCACATGTGCATCT